GTGAGGAGGGTGGGGATGACTGTGATGGTGAGCATGGTGGGGATGGTGAGGAGGGTGAGGATGACTGTGATGGTGAGCATGGTGGGGATGGTAGAGATGATGGTGCTGATGGTGCTGATGTTGGTGGCAGTGGTGATAGACAGCAGAAGTGTAGGTGGTATGGCGATAATGTTTTGTAGTGGTACCAATGGTGATGTTAGGGATAGTGTTGACTGTGGTGAAGAGGTGCTCCACTGTGGTAGAGGAGGTGGTTGTAGAGATGGTCTGTGGTGGTCCTAATGCTGCTGCAGAAGGTGTTGACAGTGATCTTGCTTTCATCCATGACAGCAGCAGTATTCATGGAGCGGTGTGTGCTGAGGGGATTGTGCGCTGTTCTTGGTAAACCTGATGGAGATGGTGGTGCAGTGGACAATGACAGCTGGGGGTGACACCCTAGTGGACGTATTTTCCTGAGTGAGAAGTAACAGCCTCTCACCTCTATGGTCAGTGTCTCCTTGGCTTCCTTGTGGCCATTTATCTGGGCTACCTTCTGGAGCTCCTGAAGTGCTTTCTCTGGTTGGCCTGTAGTAATCAGCCATCGGGCGGATTCTGGCAGCCACCTATCAAAGAAGCAGATATTTGGCTAGGACTTTGCTGTCCTGGAACACCATGGGTACTCCTGAGTTGGGTGGGAGGGGATGGTGGGCAGCGGAGCCCTCAGGGTGATGTAGCGGAGGCGGGGGGGGGGGGGGATCAGGAAAGTACTTTATAGCTGTCCTGTGAAGCTGAACTGGACAGTTTGGAATTCAGCTGAGCCCCAACCCCCAGACTCCTCCCTCTTCTAGTCTAGGCCACCCCCACCTGGCCTTTCTTGATGTCCAGTCGGTTACACGGACACTGCCTCTCCAGCAATTCTGAGGTCATCTCTGTGGTAGAAAGGCCACCTGGGATGCTGGGATGCTGGGATGCTGGGTAAAGGTACTTGCTGCCAAGCCTGGCAACCTGGTTGAGTTTCTGGGACTCACATGATGAGAGGAGGGAACTAATGTTGGCAAGCTGTTCCCTGACCACACACACAGTGGGACACATGCGTCCCCTCCCCCAAGTAAGTAAATAAATAAATCTAAAAGAAAGCTTGGCCGGGCGGTGGTGGCACACGCCTTTAATCCCAGCACTTGGGAGGCAGAGGCAGGTGGATCTCTGTGAGTCTGAGGTCAACCTGGTTTACAAGAGCTAGTTCCAGGACAGACACCAAAGCTACAGAGAAGCCCTGTCTCAAAAAACCAAAAAATAAAGGAAGGAAGGAAGAAAGGAAGGAAGCTTGACTTGCACACACACACACACACACACACACACACACATACACACACACACATACACACACACACATACACACATACACACACACACACACACATACACACACACACACATACACACACACACACACACATACACATACACACACACACATACACACACACACACACACATACACACACACATACACACACACACACACATACACACACACACATACACATACACACAGTCACTTGGTGCTGTTTTATTCTGTCTTCTTTGGTCTTTTGTTTGTTTGCTTGTTTGTTTTTTTAATAAGTCCGGGGGAGCACTTCTCTAGTCAAAGACACTGAGTTTGGCCGGTTTGAGGCAGTTTAGCACAGTGGCTAAGAGTCAGTTGCCCAAGGCCAGCAGCACAGACCTGTGTCCTGGTGCTCAGGAGGCTGAAGCAGTAGGTTTGCAAGGTTAGCCTGGGCCATGTAGTGAGTTTGAGGCCAGCTGGGCAATTTTGTTTCAAAATAAAGAGTAAAAAGATGCCTAAAATATAACTCAGTGGTACAGTGGCCCCTCATTCTTATCCGGAATGAAAAAGTAAAACATGAAACGAACCAGCCTGCCCAAGCCCAAGGTCAGACTTTGCCTCTGCTTTTTTTTTTTTTTTTTTTTTTTTTTTTTTTTTTGCCAGCCTGTCTGTTGTAGGACAGAGGCAATCAGGGTCTTATCTGTAAATGTGTGACCACGCCTCTAGTGTCACAGACCACACCTGGTATCATCAGGACACAGTCTTCCCTTTCCTTTATCACTGCCAGTCGCAGACTGGAAGCACTGTGCTGTGGATGGACTTCCGTGCCTGGAACCACATCTGGCCTGAGGCATGGACTAAGTCCTGTTTAAGAATGAATGTAGTCCTCCACACTGTACAGTGCTCTGACTGGGGCCTGGGCTGTCACCAGAGAACTACAGTGACATTCATTAGTATTGGTTTTCCTGTCCGTCCCCATGGCCCCCACCCAAACAAGGATTTCCAGATGTTTGCAGGACTCTAAAAGTAACAGCGACACTGACAGGCTCTTCTCCAACACTGGCCCTTGCAGACTTGGATGCCAAGTGCCCTGTGAGGGTCAGACTGGGGTTGGGGACAGTGCTGGCATGTATGGAGGATGGGATCAGCCTCAGCCCAGAGGACAGAGGCTGCTGCCCCATCCCTGCCTGGTGGGACCCAGGATCTTCTCTTTTTCCAAGAAAAGATGGTAGCATTACTTGTGTCTGTTTTTAAGAATCTCCTGGTTTTAACTCTGAGATTCCATCTTACACCTGTAAGAATGGCTAAGATCAAAAACACTGATGACAACTTATGCTGGAGAGGTTGTGGGGTAAAGGGAACACTTCCGCATTGCCGATGGGAGTGCAAAGTGGTACAGCCCCTTTGGATTTCAGTATGGCAATTTCTCAGAAAATTAGGAAACAACCCTTTTGGGTATATACCCAAAGGATGCTCAATCATATCACAAGGACATGTGCTCAACTGTGTTCATAGCAGCATTATTTGTCATTGCCAGAACCTGGAAACAACCTCAATGCCCCTTGACCAAAGAATGGATAAGGAAAACGTGGTACATTTACACAATGGAGTACTGCACAGCAGGAAAAAATAATGACATCTTGAAATTTGCGGGCAAATGGATGGATCTAGAAAACATCATATTGAGTGAGGTAACCCAGACCCAGAAAAACAAATATCATATGTACTCACTCATAAGTGGCTTTTAGACATAAAACAAAACAAACAAAACAAAAAACCAGTCTACAAATCACAATCCCAAAGAACCTAGACAGCAAAGAGGACCCTATGAGAGACATGGATCTAATGTACATGGATCTAATGTACATGGATCTAATGTACATGGGAAGTAGAAAAAGACAAGATCTCCTGAGTAAATTGGGAGCATGGGGACTATGAGAGAGGGTAGAAGGGGAGGGGACAGGACGGGAGGGGGCAGAGAAAAATATATAGTATAGCTCAATAAAACCAATAAAAAAAAGAATCTCCTGGTTTTAAGTGTTGGTAATGTCCCCTCTCAAGTCAATGCTGTGTGGTCCCCACTTGGCAGGAAACATAGACTTCTGGCCAAAGCAGTCACCCAGGGACTCCAAATGGTGAGTACCAGTGCCTTCCTGTGGTTCCCAGCAAGATGTGGCCAGTTAGATGGTGAGACAGAGAGATTCACTTCCCCAACAGGGCTCCCATGAAAAGAGACCCAAATGTACTGACCAGGACAGCAGGAATGTTGCCAAGAAGGGGATGGACACAGCCAGCTGGAGGTTTCGCCAGTCCCGCAAGGCATAGGCCAGGCCTGCCAAGGCCATCTGGCCTGTGCTATAAGTGCAGCCCAGGATCGCCATGGTAACAGCCCTCCTGCGGGTCGTGGTCCACTCAGCCACTGAAAGGTGTTACAGAGGCCCAGAGTGAGGTTCAGGCTCCTCCTGCTCCAGGGCAGGAGAAAGAACAAAGGACTCCAGGGTACCTACTCAGTGTAGTCTGGGCCAGTATAATGCCAGCCAGCCCAAAGGCACTCAGGAACCGAAGGCCACAGTAGATGAAGAAGTTGGGAGCCAAGATGGTGGCAGCACCAGCCACAGCCACTTGCAGGTTGCACCAGCTCAACATTGGCTTCCGCCCCAGCCTGTGAAGATGAACACATGGGGATGTCCCTGGGGACCCTCCCTACACAGGGCAGGTGATGCCTGTTCAAGGTCTGACAAAGGGAGCCATGTGCAGCTGGTTCTTGAGTTCTAGAAGCTTCTCGAAGCTCAGAGCTTCTAGAAACTTCTGGAAACATGGAAGGCTTTGTTATTGAAGTGGCAGTATCTTGCTCAGGGTCAGTGCAAACTTGTAGTCAAGAGTACGGCTTTGGCACCAGGCACCCAGGTCTGGGCCTTCTGTGGTTCAGTGACAACACATGGGTGACCAGGGAGGAAATCCCCTCTGGTTGGGAACACTCGAGTTTGCCTAACACCTTCATGCCTTCTGCTCCCAGGGAGTTATTCTGTCCTGGGGGAGCTAGCAGGAGAGGATCTACTCACCTGTAGGAGAGAAAGCCCCAGACAAAGGCTCCTGCCAGGATCCCAGCCATGAAGATGGACTGGCCCAGGGGCTTCAGGCTCTGGGAGCCGCACACCAGGTCCCACTGGAAGAGAGAGAAGTCTGACAGCTTCTGTGGTACACGAACGGGGTGACTGGTGGAGGGCTGAGGTGAGGGCCTTCTGCCTGGTCAGCCTACGCCTCGAGGCCCATTCCCCACAAGGATCCCAGCACTGGAAGCCCAGCTATTGGACACAACCTGCCTTGCCTCTGATAGCTTCATTTATTCCACAGGGACAGGGACAGGACCCAGCATGCAGGACTATGTGAGGACATGTCCAGAAGGCCAGCCTGTGGAACAGTGCATGCCACCAAAAGGTGACAGGACAGAAGAGAGTCTGCTGAGCCAGCCTCGCTATTCTAAATGCTGGTGGTGTGAATGGGTCAGTCCCGAGCTCTTTTCTGTCCTGCCTGCATCTGAAACCTGGGTCACCATAAGCCATCAGCAGTACAAACCAGATGATAAAATTCTCCACTTGAGGGAAGGGGTCTGGAGAGAGAGTTCTGTAGGAATATGCTTGCCACAGAAGCATAGACATATATGTGCCTTCAGTCTCCAGAACCCACATAAACAACTGGGCATGGTGGTGCCTGCTTGTAACCCCGACACAGGGTGGGGGTAGACAGGACTCTCTGGCCAGGCAAGTCTGCTGCCCCAAGACAGGGAGATCCTATCTCACAAAATAAGTTGGAGGCTGGAGAGGTAGCTCAGATAAGAGCCCCTTGTGTGCAGTCGTGAGGCCCAGAGTTCAGATACCCAGCCATGTCCTAAGCCAGGCATCTGCCTCACGCCTATAAACCCAGCTCTGAGGGAAACAGAGGCAGGAGGATTCCAGGGTTTGCCCACTTCTGGTCTAGATGAAAAAATGTGAGACCAGGTTCAGGGAGAGACCCTGCCTCAAAGGGGCAAGCAGAGTGACAGGAGACACCTGACACCTTTGGACTTTGCAGAAGTGTACAGACACCTATACACACACACACACACACACACACACACACACACACACACATTCTACACTTGAGCAAATTATTCCTAGATCCATCTGTGTTCTTGTACACTCCAATTTTGTTAAAGATCTCTGCTAAGACTGTTCAGCAAGAACACCCCACTCCGGCTCAGTGAGACTCCCGTTAGGTTGGTTTAGACAGCCTCTTCCATGACAGCTATTTTCTGCCCTCTGACCCCTCCAGGCTCCAGCTTGGACTGCCCTCTGACCCCCCCAGGCTCCAGCTTGGACTGCCCCTTTATCTTGAGTAGGGGTCCATCTCTTTCCCCCACAGCAAGACCGCATGTCTACCCGATGGTTTCTCTACCCGTGGAGAGGTCAAATCTGCCTTCCCATATTGAATAACTGGATGATGGTTTTCTGTGTTGGTGTGTGCATGCATGTGTGTGTGGGTACACATGTGTGTGTTGTCAAAGTTGACACTAGGCATCTTTCTCCATCACTCTTTTCTTTATAGTTTGAGACAGGGTCTTACAGAAGCAAGAGTTCACCGATTCGGTTGGACAAGCTAGCCAGTCAGCCCCAGGCATCTTTCTGTCTCTTCCCCTCAGCACTGCCCATGCCCACCCCTTTCTATTCGGGTTCTGGGGGTTTGAACTCGAGTCTTTAGCAAGCACTTTACCAGTTTAGCCACCTCCACAGCCCTGTATAGCATTTCAACATTTTGTTTGTCGTGCAAAGCTTGGGAGGAGGCAAGTTGTGCAGGCCAGCTCTGGGGACCTTACCCTGGTCACAACTGTAGCTATGAAGGTGCTGTGGTCATAGACCCAACCATCCACACATGGCTCTGTGGCAGCCTCTCTCTCGTTGGCAGCTGTGACATTGGGGTTGAGGAACTGCCACTGTGGGTGGCGGAAGCGGCGGCACCGGTGAGGCTGCAGGTCGGGGCCAGGTGGGACGGAAATGGCCAGGAGGGCCTCGTGGGTCAGGTTGGTGGGCACCTCAGAGCTGTTGTCCAGCACATGGGTCCAGCAGCGATGGTCTGGGACAGCAGCCGAGAAATTCTCCAGAATCATGTGAAAAGGTATCAAGACGGCGGAGAGGAGCAAGGTGCATATCTGCAGGACCTGGAAGAGGCCCACACCCCCAGCCCTGATCAGAAGCTCCTCAAACGCCATGGCTGGAGCTGATCCTAACCGTTGGGGAGTGCTGAAACCTGCTAGTCCTCTCTAGTCCTCATGGATTCCAAGTGCTCCCAAGCTCCTCCTTGCTCTGCTGGTGGAGACAGGGGTAGGGTGGGAGGATAAATGTTTTCTTGTCCTGTTTCCAGAAGTGGTCACTGGGATGTCCCAACACTGTAGAGGGGACATCAGGTAGAGGACTCACTGGGCCAAGCTGCCTGAACGGTCAGGACAGGGAGGCCTGAGCTCTCTCTGGAACCAAGAGGAAAAAGTCAAACAGACTTTTCCAACCTCCAGGGCAAAGCTGTTACTGAGTTACCGTCATGGAAAGACAGGCTGCTGTCACTGCTTCCCCGGGGGCAGTCAATGTTCAACCTCAGCCTGGACTCCAATCACTGACTCTCAGGACCCTTTCAAATTCTTGGCATAGGGATGTCCGATCAGAAATCCGTTGACCTCACTCAAACCCAGACAGTTCAGTGACTGATGCTGGCAGTTGCTGGTTATTTACTTATTTATCTGGGGGCATGTGAGGTGTGTGCAAATGTGTTACTAGGTCAGAGCACAACCTTCTGGGTTGGTTCTCCTCTCTGTCACGTGGGTCCCAGGGGTTACACTCAGGTCCCCGGTCTAGAGCCTTCCCCCACCTAGCCACTGCCCAGAGCTCTTCTGTTCTGAGGTTCCTTAGCAGCCTGGAACCTTCAGGGTGGAGCCCACGGCTGCCATTTCTCAGACTTTCTCTGCAGTCACTCAAGAGCCTGAGTGGTGAACATGTGTGGAACTTCACCATCTCACCCAAAGTTCCCCGTCAGGATGAAGGCAGCCTGAAGCTAGTGGGGCTTCTCAGCTGGTGTGACTGCTGTCCTCTGCTCCCAGATTCCCCTCCTCGTGTCCTCACCCACCTCTCACAAGGCAGAAATGGGTGTGAACTCTTTCTAACAAGAGAAAGGGGCTCAGAGAGGGCAGGCAACTTGACCAAAGTCAGACAACCAGGCTCAAATTCAAACCACACACCAAAACCTAGTTTTCCTGGATGCCCCACGGGCAGTGCCTGAGTGGCCCCTAGCTGGTCTGGAATAAGGGATATGAGTCAGAATCTCAGTCAGCCCCAGATAACCCCGCTGGGTGCCAGAGGGAACTGAGTGGGTTTTACAGAGAATCGTGCATGGGTGAGGATCCCGAGCTTCCAGGAACCTCCTTAGAGGGCTTGGGGAGCTATGTAGCCCTTACTCTGCCTCAACATGGGAACTCTCTGTACTGTGTGCAATAACAGATCCAGAGAGATGTGGTAACGAAGACAGAGGAACCCATGGGAGCTGATGGAAGAGTGCTAGGCCCCGCCCAACACAGGTGTGGTACCCTGGTCTTGACCTTAAGGCATGGCCTCACCGCCCTGTCCCTCTGATTTTTAGTCTGTGAAACAGAGCAGTGTTTTCCAACTGAGCACACATCAAAGACCAAGGGCTGGACTCTCGCCTGCCCTGCCTTGCTCCTGCCTCTGGGGATTCTGCTGTGCTGAGAGTCTCTGGGTTCCAGGAGGCTGAAAGCCAAAGCATGGGGGTGGGGATTTATTTCCCTTCCAACTCCTTCCCTGCCCTTTGCCTGTCACGGACTCTTCCAGGATTTGCTAGCAGAAGGTCAAACCTCCCGGATTTACCAGAAGGCTCTCGGAATCTCCAGCTGATTTCCATGTCCTGGCCAAGGAATTTTTAATTTGTATTTTCTGCTTTTCTAGGTCTGCTGGGGGCAGGGCCTGGAGTGGCTGCTCTGCCACCTAGTGGTTATACCCGGGACTGCAGCACTTCCAAGCATCAGGCTGAGCTTGCCCTGTTTGGTGCCTTGTGACCCCAGGCTCACTCAGCAAGAATGAATAAGTCAGTGAGGAGAAGGCCCTTGGGAAGAAAGGCAGACAGTCTTAGATGATGGCCGCTGTCTTGGGAGCCTCACTAAACTCCTTTGGATGAGGTGAACACCAGTTCCTCACAGAACCAGGACTGCTGTTGGGTTAGTTTCCCAGACAAGGGTTCCCAAAGGCTAGTCTGGCTGCCAGATGACCTTACCAGTTCCTGACCCTTTCCTGTCTCCAAGATGTGGTCTTCCACTTAAAGTGGTAAGATTACAGGAGATAATGGACAGATGAACATTTGCTTCCACCGCCTTCACTACCGTCACCATCTCTGCCATCATCACCACCATCACCATTACCAGCATAATCATCATCTTTATCATCACCATCGGTATGACCCCATTATCCATGGCCATCACAATAACTGCCACTATCATTGCCATCACCATCCTCACCATCCCATCACCACCACCATCGCCACCTTCATTATTGTCACCATCACTGCCATATTCATGGCTGTTACTATCCTCATAGCACTGCTGTAGACACCACCATGTGGCTTTCTGCCTGATCTCCCTTGGTCTTTGCCAGCTGAAGCTGTAATTGCAGGTCAGATCCATCCAGGGTTATGGGGACCCCTGCAGTCTGTCAGAAGCTGGGCTCCTCAGACGTGGGCTCGGGACTCCGCAGCTCACGGCAGCAGCAGTGGCTGTATCTCCCAGCTCACGGCAGCAGTAGTGGCTGTATCTCCCAGCTCACGGCCAGCAGCAGTGGCTGTATCTTTTGTGTCACACAGCTCATCTTTTTCGACCTCCCAGAACTCACATCATCGCCCTTTATTTATTCTTTTAAGGAAAAATGGAAGAAGGGCGTTCCTTACTCAATACTCAATCTTTTTGCTTTGGGGTGGGGGGTGAGGGATGAAAAACTGTACCTCATGTACACTGGGCAAGTGCTCTACCATTGAGTCATACCCTAGAGTGGCTCTATCCTTCCATGCATGTGTGTGTGTGTGTGTGCACGCGTGTGTGCGTGTGTGTATGCGTGCCTGTGTGCTCGTGTGTGCATGTGCGTGTGTGTGTGTGCGTGCGTGCACGTGTGCTTGTGTGCGTGCGTGTGTGCATGTCTGTGTGTGTGCATGTGTGCACATGTGCACAGGGCCCAGACTGGGATGTCGAGTGTTGTACTTCATCATTCTCCATCCTTTTTTTCCTTAAAAAAGGGTCTCTCTCTGAACCTGGAACCAGTGTGGCAGCCAGCGAGTCCCAGGATGCTCCTGTCTCTGCCTCCCCGGTGCTAGACTCACACGTGTGCGGTACCACACTTGGCGTTTTCAGTGTGTTCTGGGTGTGAAACTCAGGTTCTTGCTTCAGGAGCAAGATGAAAGACAAGAACATGTTTCAGAGCCTTGCTGTATCCAGCTTTAAGCCTGAGGTCTTTTCTATGGCCACACAAAGAGGAGCCAGCCAGCGGACGGTAGATACTAGGTGAGGCGGGGTGAGAGTGTGGTCTGGCGGAGGCGGGGGCTGTCCTGCGGTCAGGTTGATCGCCTCCCCATGGCATCAGCTGTTGAGATTGACAAGATACTGAATTGCTCTGAGCCTTGCTGTTCCATGGGTCACCCACCTAGATGTCAGCTTGGGCGGGATCTGGCCCTGATCATCTAGGGTCAGCACAAGACTGTCTCGAACCAGCTGTCACACATCAGAGTATAGGACAACCTGGCTTGAATCAGGACCGCATCCCAGCCCGTGTGAGAGACTTGAATGTAATTTGTTATTCCCAAAGTGATCTAAGAGTCACAGATGAGGGATTGGCGGCAGCAAACTCTGTAACACGCTGAAGACCTGGGCTGTGAACGTAAATCAGCCGACCAGATGTGCTGAAGACCTGGGCTGTGAACGTAAGTCAGCCGACCAGATGTGCTGAAGACCTGGGCTGTGAATGTAAGTCAGCCGACCAGATGTGCTGAAGAAAAACCTGCTGTGCTAGACAGTTTCATGGCAACACAATACAAGCTAGAGTTAGCTGAGAGGAGGAACCCTCAATTGAGAAAATGCCTCCATAAGATCCAGGTGTAGAACATTTTTTTTTTCAATTATCCATTGATGGGAGAGGGCCCAGCCCATTGTGAGTGGCACCACTCCTGGGCTGGTGGTCCTGGGTTCTGTAAGAAAGCAGGCTGAACAAACCATGTGGAGCAAGCCGGTGAGCAGCACCCTCCATGGCCTCTGCATCAGCTCCTGCCTCCAGGTTCCTGTCCTGTTTGAGCTCCTGTCTTGACTTCCTTCGGTTACAAACAGTGATGTGGAAGTGTAAGCCAAATAAACCCTTTCCTCCCCAGTTTGCTTTTTGGTCATAGTGTTTCATTGTAGCAATCGAAACTAAGATGCCTAAACTAAGCCTTCACTGTTCCTCTGAGAAGGGCCAGCTGACCCTGCGATGGGCCAATGGGAGAGCTATTGCACACTCTCTTATGGCCAGATGTTATGATTCATCCACCTGCCAGAGCTCACAGGGACACACAGGACAAAGAGCAACTGGGACCACCCATCACAGCTGTGTCCATCTGAAGGGTGACGTTCTGGAGGGAACTCTGGCTGGAAACTGACCACTGGAACCCTGGACTCAGCTCACACCCTCTCCTACCTCTCCCATCCCAGCCCCCAAACCATTGGCAGCCTTATTTCTCAACCCACTTCAGCATCAAGGATGGGACTGACTGGATCCAAGCCTAGAGGCTGTATGATCCAGGTCCAGTCAGGCAGAAGGAAAGTACGCCCTCCCTTAGGTAAACTGAGGCAGAGTGTAAGAAAATTTTTCTCCATGGCATGATCATAATTTTTATAAAAAACCTGACAAAGACTGTCTAGAAGGAAAGACACAAACAGCAACTCAGCTTAGACGGCAGGAACCTTCCCCATGAAACAGGCATGCAGGAGCAAATCCACTAGGAGACGGATATGAGGTCCCAGATGGGAGCTTAACCTGCCACTGAAAAACCCACTAGGCATCTCAGCACATTCACAGGCATCTCTGTGTTAAACCTCAGCAAGCACCTCTGAGATAACTTCTGTTTTGGAGAGAAATGCATTACATTCGGGAAGTAAACAATTCACAGGCTTCAGGAAATCCCTGAAACTGACCAAATTCACTAGACCCCTTTCTCCCTGAGAGCATATATCCTTCCAAGAGATGGAACACTCAAGCTACCCGGAAGAAATGGAAACCAGACAACTCTGGAGGAGTCTCAGATGAGGTGTGCTGCCTAGACGAGGCTTTCTCCAAACTCTACTGCTGCCTGGGGATTGTGCGGGGAGCTGCAGGTTCCCAGCTTCCATGAACTGTCTCCTATTGTGGAATATTAGTTTTATGATGTGTTACATTTTTTCTGCTGTGGAATATTTATTAAATGATGCAAAGATATGTTCCTTTTGTTTAACCTTGTAACGTTGTGTTACTTTGCCTGTCTTAAACACCTGATTGGTCTAATAAAATGCTGAACAACCAATAGTTAGGCAGGAGAAAGGGTAGGTGGGGCTGTCAGGCAGAGTGGATAAACAGGAGGAGAAATCTAGGGAGGAAAGTAAGGAGCGAGAAAAGGAGGAGAGGAGGATGCCAGGGGCCGGCCACACAGCCAGTCA